GGTCTCGCAAGCACTCACCCAAGAAGGTAATCCCACGGAGTGACATAGAAACAACCATTTGAGAAGTTACTACAGAATGACCACCCGCTTAGGCAGAGAGGTCAGGCCACACATCGGCTAAATAATATTATGGGGAGTGGACTATGAGTCGCTCCCAGAGCCCAAGGGCCACGGCACTGAACAAATAGTGACCTCAGTGCAAAACATGAATAAGAATCAGTCGCATCTTCGGCATGGGAAACTTAAGACTCAATCGCCTCTTCGGCATGGGCAACATAAGACCCAGTCGCCTCTTCGGCACGGGCGGAATAAAAAACAATTTGCGTTTAGCCCCATCGGTGTGCAGACAGGTTGGGTACATACTGTTCCACCTCAGCCTCATTGGTGTGTAGAAGAAGAAAGAGAAAAAGAAGGACAAAAAAAGAAACAAAGGAAGACTAATTCAGCACAAGAAAGAGAAACAAAGGAAAGACTAGTCGGATTGCAGAACCCCTTGATGGTCGCATCCCTAATAAGGTAGATGTCCTCGGGGTACCTGTTCCACCTCTCCTCGAGCGGATGAATTTGCTCTTATGCCCCGATAATCAAGACTGCGAGGTCCTGCGTAAGGCTGCAAACACTTGAACTCTTTCGACCTGAGGAACAAATAGGATTGAAGCAACGACTACAAGCTCATCAAACAGTCATTCCGGGCCAAAGGAACAATCTACTCCCTTCGTCGAGTTGCCCTCAGCTCGGTGCATGAAGCCTACACCAAACAATGCCTATATAAAGGCATCAACCGCAATGACACAGGGTACACGCGATTATTTGCTCACTAGCTTACTAGCATACAAACTTTTAGCTCGCACAACCCAGTACTGACTTAAGCATCGGAGCGACCTTGCCGGGTTAACCACCCTGAGTTCTCTAATCCTCTATCTTGCAGCTTGGTCTAGCTCGCTACACAACTAAGGTCCATGTCATCATCCAACTAGGAACTTCCAGATAGTGCATCATCAGCACCCTTCCTTTGTAATGTTGAGTAATGATCATTTATGACAAGTTGACAGCATCTGTAATATTTTCGTGGTGTTGGAATAAACTCTTGGACGGGTAAATTTGCGAAAATGATCATCGAACATCAAATCAAGCGAAAAACATAAATGGTTGATTCACTGTTTTAGCTCAATAATCAGAACTGGACTATCAAGCATATATATATCAATCTAAACAAGTACAATCTCATTCATACCTTATATGAAAACTTAATTAATTATAATGGGGGTAATGAAGACCGAACACTAAATCACTTGATCAAAATGGCTATGATTTCAAAGAACCATTCAACCTAAAAGCTTAAACTATTAGATGAAGTCCTTGAATAAGTTGACAAGAATTAATCTTCTTCAAAGGTCTGATATAACAATTAATAGACATTACAATTGTCAACCCCAAATAATTTACACTTATGATGGAAAACCCTTACCTTGAGGCCTAAATGCTCCACATACTTATTTCAAGGGCCGTTTCAAAGTTATGATCACATTATGAGTCTTTAGATCTGGTGTGAACACAAGCATGTAAGCATAGATACATAGAGGTGGACATGAATCAAGTTATATTTGTGAACCATTTGAATTTGGCTTGCAAAAATCTCAATCTGGGCCGGCCATGTATAATTTTTAATTTTTCATATAAAACTTCGATTCAATATTGAAATCAAGGCAAAGCTGCAAATTAAATATATATGAGCTTTAATTTGAGTCAAACCAAATTTGAATTAAGCTAAATTCAGCTCAAATAATCTAATATTCAGCAAAATTCAGCTAAAATCCACCTTGTAACAATACAAAACACTGGCATGCATGTTCACTTGGATTGGCACTAGATCCGTGCATCACATTGATTACCCCTTGATCCATTGGTTTCTCACCCTAGAGGGGTCATATAATTATTGAGAAAACATAAAAGTGCATTATGGACGACAACAAAGGAGCTAAGGTACTTGCATGGGAGAGTGGAGAGTATTGATTATTTATGGGAGACACAGTGATCAAAAGGTTCAGAGTACCAAACTCAGAAACAGAACTGCCTAAAGTAGCCTAGGGTTTCAGTAATTTGGATGTACCCCGTTGGATCCATGGGCCTGGAACATGTGCTTAGTTATACCCGAAATTAGGTCCACGTAAGTTCATCAACTTTCACCAAAAATAATGAACCTTGCTCCATGCAATTGCATTGCACGCTCTCTCTCTCTCTATCCAACAAGGGCCGTGTAGCCTTTTGTCTCTAAGCTTGCAACATTTTCTCTCTTTTTCGAATCATCATCGCTCTAAAAGATGCTAGTGGGCTTTACTTGGCCGACCAATCTTGTCTGCTTGATTCCTCAAATCACAATAACAATAATCTCATGGAAATTATAGCATAGGCAACGCTAGCTGCTGACAAAATAGGACAAATTCCGTCATAGCCCCTGGATTATTGATTGTACAAGATTTCCAGGCAGCTAACAATTATTTATTTGCAATGCAAATCTTAACCCGATAAAAAGTTTTGTACCCTGTTTACTTTTGCATCAATTTGTTTGTAACTATGATTTGCCCTCTCCCCTGATGAAAAAATTATACTTTCTTTTTCTCATTTGCATTTGTAAACAGTGAAAATTTTGCATTTTAAAAATTGATGCAAAATTTACACCACCTTCCTCTTATCTCAATTCTCTCTAAGTAGAGAAGTACCATTCGTTCTCTTTTACATAAGGTGGAGATTAATTACATTTTACTTCTCACGAACACAGTCAAATCTAAAGTAAAAATGAACCAGTCTTGATCCTTAATACATTATTAATTGTTCCTTAAATGAAGCCTTCTCAGCCCCATTTCTTTCTTTTCAGCCAATAAGCAGATGGCATCACAATGTCTTCCCTTTTTTGTTGGTTAGGCATAGGTGTCTCATTTAACTGTCCCTGATATCATATGGAGCGGAAGAGAAAAAGTTGGAGGTTTAGGAGAGAGAGAGAGAGAGAGAGAACAGCCCCTCTGATTTTACGTGTCAATTGATTTACACAATTCATTGCAATTATGGATAGAACCAGCTAATACCTCTGTCGGTGGGAAGGATGAATCGGAGTAAAGAAAGTAAAAGAAACTCAACTAGAATCTTCATGACCCCGATTGATCGATGTCAAAAAAAAAAATTTCAATCTCATCATTGGTAGTATCTTTTCTCATCGTGTATCAACTCGACATCTTTCGTTCTCACGTTTTGGTTGGGAAAATATCCCCATGCTGTTAAGTACGTATGCTGAGCTCGTAGGGGTTGTTTGTTTTCCCTTCTACATGCAGTAAGCTCATGCTCATGTGCATGGCTAGTAGCTATATATGTCGATTAGGTGTATTTTCCCACGTACGCCTTTCTTATTTATGGATGATAGTATTGAGTGAATTTATACAATGTATGAGGTTGAATAAATAATTAAATATTGGTGAGGGATTCTAGAAAAAAAAATTGTGCAAAAAAATCTAATGAAAAGTGTTTGAAAACTATGAAAGATTTTTCAAAAATTATTAAATATTGATCAACAATAATTTAAGTAATTATGAGATATGAGAAGTGAAATAAATTATATATACAACATTGCAACTAATATGTATATTGAACTAAATGAAAAGTTAAAAAATGAAGAACGTCATTTCTCATAGGTAGCTTTAGTTTTATAATCGTAGTGGTAGCTATTAGGCTTTGATCATGATCTAGGTCTATGCCTTAGCTTGGATTGGCCATTGACTCAATCCAATTCATCAAATTTATACTGCTACTTCATCACAAAAATTAAGAATATAATTCAAAAATATTAAAAAGAGAGAATTGAGAGTGCTTCTTAAATGGGCTTTTTTGTGCTTTTCATGTTGGAGCCCTTTAAAAAATCGTTTGGCAAAAAACTCAAAACATGTTTTTTGCATCAAAAAAAGCCCACCTGAAAAACAGATAAAAAAAAAAACCCTCTATTTAACTTTTTACATATACAATAAACTATTTTGAACAAAAAAGCTAGTGAGTAGCCAAACACTAAAAAGTGTCTTTTCAAAAAGCCAATTCCCAATAGTGATTGTTTTAGAAGCTCATTTAAGCCAAAAAGCACTCCCTTAAGTAGCCTTATTAGGAAAGGGGATAGAAGTTACAAACATAAACTGCACATACAATTAAGACCTAATTAGAGGGAGATGATGGGTTTTATTAGATAGCTAGAATTAAGACTTAGGAAGGTTTTATCATAATTTTTTAAATTTTAATTGAAACTAAAATAAATGAACCACGTTTAGAAAAAAAGAAGAGTAGGCAGGAGACCATGTGAGCATGAAAGACTGATAGACTCCTTTCATGTATATATATAATGCAAATATATATAGATAGATATGTTGCAGAGCCATGAGATTAATCTATATTCTCCTTTTTCCATGTAGCATGATACGTATGTTTATGACTTATGAGTGGATTAATGCAGATGTGCAACTGCGGTCTGCGGCACATAATAATCCCGTCTCCGTCTGAAATGCTAATGGACGCACATAGGAAATAGAAATAGGGAATAGGATGAAAGGATCCCACAAGGGTCCAGACTCGTGCAGACTCCAGAAAACCGCAGTCAGTGCCAGCCAGCCCCCAGGTGACGCATGATTTGATATTTGACAAAGAAGGACCAACCCAAAACTTGTATGTTTCTCTTTGTTTCTCTCTCTCTCTAGTGCCTACTCCACCCATCGGCCCATCCATCCATCCATGCATCTTACTCTTACTGTCTTACAGCTCCATGCAATACTTTTATTGAGCTCATCATCAACTATATGTTCATTCATTGTAGCCGACCCTATAGACATATAGTTGGGATAAGGCTTATATGACGATGACGATGGTGATCAACTACATATGGGTCCATTAACTGATCATACGACACTGACATTGCAACTTGTTACCCAAAGTTAATCCATTCATTCCTTGAGTTTCGCCTTTACCTCTACCTCTATTTTAATATAAGCCCTACTACTCCTCCTTCAAAGTTCAAACCCATCCCCGTTTCGCGTCTGAAATCCATATGTCCCTCTCCTCGTTCTATCCCTATTTTCTTCTTTAACGTCTATCCCTACTACCGAAGCTACCAGACAACCAACCCCCATCTCCACTCAGAAGAAGGCATATCAAGATGAAGGCGGGTTTCTGATATCTATCTTCTTCCGTTTAGATCATTTTAATTTCTTCAAGCACCGAGCTTGTTTCTTTAAACCTTCTTACATTATTTCTTCTTTGTCGCAGTTATTAGATTGGATGCACCGTAAGTTCCGGCAATATAATAACGAACCAAGCAAGGATTTTATAATCGGTACTGTCCACTCTCTTCTTCTTTTTGTGGCTACCACTGAAAGTCTGAAACAGGCTAGGCTTATAAATCATCAGTAGCTTTGGTCGTTGAGCGTATCATTAATCTGCTCGGACGGTGGTCGTAGCACTTTCTTGCGACCGCCCAATGAAATACGGACGGCATCCCCCTTGGTTTTTAAATTCGGAACGTCAAATGGTCTACTTTGTCACTGGCGTGTCCGTGTTTTTTGTTGGGCGGTTGCAAGAAGCAGAAAACTCTGAAGTTTGAACAGGGTCCGGTCCAGTTGGAATGTCCACCGGCCACCGGGGTGTACTCCAAATCATCTACGGGAACCGGACGATACTGATTTTACGTTATGGTGTCCCAATTAAACTTTGACGAAAGTACAGACGGACCGTGAAAACTGAAAAGGACCGTTTGCTTTTTATGAAAGGCAAAAGTTTTTTTTTTTTTTTTTTTCTAAAAATTCACTGGTACAGTGGTAGCTGCTCCTGCTCGTTTTTCATTTTGTTTTGTAGGCGGCCGTCTCGTCTCTGTGTCTCTAAATGTTCTAATGTCTTCTGCTCTACTAGCACCATTCCAATTCCTTTCCTTGTGCCTGCTTTCTATTTTCAGGTCGCTCTTGTTATTGTCTTTCAGGGCAGCCTTCTTCACCCGACGACGAACCACAATACTACTACCACACAAAACCAGGTTACAACGGATCTCGATCATCATCAAACCAGATGTCTCAGAAAGAGCGGATCCGCCGGAAATCTTTCGCTGGATCGGAAACAACAGTGGTCGATGAAGACTTGGAAGCAGCAGCAGCGGCCGAACGCTTTGATGGACTCCTCACAATCGGGACTTTTGGTTCAGACCCTGTCCTCGCTGACCCCACAACGTCTGTTTTCACCTTCTCCGTTGAGAATATAACTGAAAAAGAAACTGAGGTGACGGAGAGTGATCTCAAGCTCATCAACGAAGAGTTAGAGAAAGTCCTTGTGACCGAAGTAAAGGAAGATGGATGCAATTTGTCATCTGGGAGGAGCAGTCATGTTAGTACTAAAACAACCGAGAACAACGGGAACAGCACAATGGCAATCTGCCCACTTCAAGAATATCTATTTGGTTCTCCTATCAAGATTCCAGAAACGACTATGGTGGCCAAAAAACAACATAGGATGTCACTCAGCGAGCTTTTTCATAGGAGTAAAACGACAGGTAACTCAGCGTCAGATGCAAAATGTGAAAGGAAGGCGAAGCGAGCAGAGAAGGAAGCTATAGCCGAGAAATGTGGCAGTACTAGCAGTCATCATCTCATGACGAAAATTCTTAAGCGACGGACATCTAATACGTGTTCTAGGAACCCTGCCACTGCTGTTGCTGCTGCCTCTGATCCTGTTTCAGCGGAGAAGAAAACCCACAAGGTGCGTACATTTACTTCTTTACTACTGGTCCTGGACCTTCCCGTTCCCGTACCCGGGGGTGGTGGTAATTCTTACTTTCTGAGGAATAATGGACCTCCCCGTCCGGCCGTCCCTTGGACCTTGGTAGCAGTTGCACTGACGGGGGACCTTGGAAATCAACAATGATATATAACCTATCAAATCAGAAAGTACAGGGGAGGAGGTTTCACAATTCACTTTCACATTCAGTCAGTCTATGCGCCAATCGCCATTAGCCCGTGCATAGTTGACTCGTCGAGGGTGGGTTCCTGGGTGGATCGATCATTTGGGTACACGTCATGTCTTCTCAAAGAAACCATCATTGTGTGAGCAACGCTAGTTGCTTCTTGCTTATACGAGTTAGTTGGGTTGGGTCAAACAGCATATTGGGCGGGCCCCACATAGCGTATTATCAGATCACGGTATCGTTCAGCCGGCTCGGCTAGTTGAGATCAATTCAATCCCCCACAACGACCCACGGCACATCACATTTCCCGATGATATACCAGAAATGAAGATGATCCGAAGATGTTCCACAGAAGGATTGAGCCAACCCGTAAGGACAGCACTCAACTCCCCACCAAGTACCATGTACCAACATCCCCCTGGGGCCTGGGCTGGAAATCTCATATTCCTATATGTAACCTTTGAAATTTATAATATATTTGGTAATCTTGATCTCTCTCAGTTAATTGAGTTTTTTCAACTTTTTATTTTTTGTGTACTCTTTGGCTGCCAGATCCTACAGATGTTCCACAGAAGAGTTCATCCTGAAAGCTCGACTACCAGCAAAAAGCCCGGAAAGCTATATAAAAATGAGATGAAGAGTGATATCCCTGACGATAAAGGTGGAAGCTACGACTACAATAATGGAGATCAAATGCCCCTAGAAGAGGACATCATGATATTTCCTCAGAGTGCCATCTCCAAGGAAGGATTTCTTCGACACTGCGAAAGCCCATCAAATCCCCCACCGCAGTTGCCACTTGGCGGCAGAGATTCCAATGGGAATAGGGAATATTGGATCAAGACAGATGCCGACTGTAAGTACAAATTAACACCACACTCCGGCCTTTTCTTTTCGGTCGTCCAATTCCGCCCACCCTATGGTTCGTAGTACAAAAATATCGCAAATCATGCAGCCAGTTCCAGTCTTCCAGAGCCCGGATCTGCTGCTCGCCATGCTGTGTGTAAAACACTATATAACCAAATTCTGAACTGGACTGATCAGTCATTCTTCCTTTACACCCCCGTAGGGTGGGGCTACAAAATTCTAGCTTAGACTCATCAGTCATTCTCCCTAAAAAAACATCAATGCACTGAGATTGGATCTACTCAGATTGTGCCTCACATCGACCTTACATTATGTCTTGGTCTTACATTGGGAATATTTCTCATATGTGTATTTATTATTCATGGGGAAATATTCTCGATACTGGTGGGATGTGGTTGTGAGATCGGTGTGAGGTGCACTGTGAGGAACAGGTCCCATTTTGGTATCAACATTCATGTGTATAGAACACTAGTATAATTTAGGGAGAATGGTTGGGGGATGAATCCTGACCGTGAATTGATGCCAAATTTATGGGCAGGATGCAGTTTATAGGGGGGGTTACAAGTAGACTATGGGGGCTGTCATTCAGAATTCTACATTGGGTTGCAGAGTACTTAACCCTATTTTTTAAGGCCACACGTTACATGCTTTGCAGTTTGCACAGTAGCAAGGCTCTGACTAGATGATGAAATGTGTTCATTGGGTAGGGATATGGCTACTAACAAAACACTCCCAACACTGTCTTACAAGCCATTGCAGATCTACATTAGGAACATCTCCCTTGTCATTAATGATGAGATATTCCCAATGTGTGGCTACAGTGGAATTGCCAGTTAAGACATGTTGGGAGTGTTGGGTTGGTAGCAGATCTGAACTCGTGTTTATCATAAACAAGGATATATTCCTTTTATATTCTTACTGGGGTTCTTTAAAAAAACAAAACCAAAAACAGAAAAAGGGAGAATGACCGATCAGCCCAGGGTCAGAATTTGTAGGCTCAAAGTACTATCGGGGTAAGTGCCAGCTTGGAATTGATGCCAATCAAGGGTGTCAATGGGCCGATTTTGGATTGGACCCCATCCAGTCCAAAATCAATTTGGATGGATTGGATGGACCAATAAGGCATATTGGATTGGACCAATCCGGTCCAAAATATTTATTAGATTGGATTGGACTTGGTCCATCCATAACAACTTTATATTGGACTGGGTTAGATTAAACCAATATCTGGTCCATTGATATAAGATAAAAATATATGTGTCAATACACTAGGTTTGGGTTGAAATCAATTTATATCAAAGTGAATTTGAACAGATTGGATGGTTAAATATTGAATTAGACCGATCCAAATTAGTCCAAAACATTCATTGGATTGGATTGAACTTGGTCCATTTATAATGAACTCACATTGGACTGCATCGGATTGGACCAAATCCAGTCCAATTGACACCCCTACTGCCAATTCATGAGTGGACATTAGTGCATAGAGTATGACACTCCTACTGCCAATTCATGAGCGGGCATTGGTGCATAAAGTGTGGGTTATTGACCTTTTGAATATTTATAACTCTGCAGTGAAAATCAGAAATCTGCATCGGACAAATCCATACTTCTCCAAAAAAAACTGGAAAGGATCTCATTAGTGTGGGCTGGTCCACGCCTGGACTTACATAAAACCCATTAGACCATGTGCTAGGCCCGTCCTGCTGCAAACCATAGTTATAGACTTATAGGCATGATTAAATGGCTAAGATTCTAAGGACCGACACAAGAATGATGCCCCGGGATAAATAAGCATTAAATAGCACCACGTTAAACCAACTGATGGTGGCTCAGTTGGTAGTCTCTGACTCGTTGTAACATATGCCTAAAATCAAATCCCGCTGCCACCCGGGTTGGGGGATTTAAGGAAATGGGGATGAATTACCCCGGTTGTGCAGCCCCACGAACTCTCCATTAGACAAAATTCACATGATGCTAACATTAAGGTAGTCAGATCCAATTCATAACAAGTTTTATAACCCAATGTCCGAAAAAAAAAAAGAACCGATCATCAGGTCAGATGATCGGAAACCATCCCTTGCCACGTTAAAGAATCATGGTATGAAGAAAAATAAATAAAACATAGAAAAGCTACAAACCTCTGATATTGATTTCATTCTATTTGTATTGTGATTATTTTTCGGTGTTCTTTTTCTGCCTTGCTAGACCTGGTCTTGGAGCTGTAAGGGCATATACCAGCAGTCGCATTCTTAGATAACCTTGGACGGTCATCCTTTTCCAGTAAGAAGTGGTTCAATGATCGGTGATATCCTACTTGTTGGTGATTATAACTAGTCTTACGTGAATGGTTCTGTTAATGATAAACATGAGAGCAACAATGAAATAATAAAGAGGCATACCTCTACCGACTATCACTGTAATGATGATCTATTGATCAATATAAAATTTCTTCTATGATCTCCAAATAGTCAACATAAACTTGATTTCAGCTGTTCAAGGGTCTCATTGTTACTGGTTGATTCCAAATCCAACAGAATGGATCTTACATCAATACAATAGAACCAAAACACAGTGCTTGATTCCGATTTCATAATCCCACCTGAGGGGTTCCATGAGAGACCGAAAGAATCCCACAAATGTGATTCTGGTTTTTCATCATATGGATCCAACTGAACAATAGATTTGTCAAAAATAGGCTCGATGAAAGCAAATGCTGATGGAAGTTTTTTAAGAGTAACAGAGATGTCGTTTAAACAAAGAATATGCTATTTTGGTGGAATTATGACTAATGAATAATGCAATTTTTTCCGGAGAAGTTGAACCAGGTCCACCTTCACTCTGGATAATCCATCAAAGAACATTGAACAGGACAGGTCTGGGTGGGTTTTTTCTGTTTTTCATGAGCTTTTCCAGACTCAAAGATTTTGTCAGAAAAACAGGCTGTGTCAAAGTATGTCCAGTTAAGGGTAGGATAGTTTCCAATCCTAGTCTGACCTCAACCTGAAAGTGAAGGAAAAGAATTGCACCTCCAGTTCCAACAACGTATGGTGCAGCCATAACTTTTATGAGGACCACCATCAGAGGTTTAATCCCCATTCTACCACGGAATCTGTTTGGTTCATTCTTTGGTTCCCCAGTCCAAAAGGCTTATTCAACTGTTTGTTAGCCAACAGTTAACCTATCAAATAAATGTTCTTTCACACATGCATTTTCAGACATGTTTTATATAAGAGCTGAATATCCTGGTTTGACAATTTTTACTCCATATGGGCAATATGTGCTGGATTATGGATGTTTTACAAAGAATTGAAATGCTTGTACAACATATCACTAGGTGTCTGATTCACAATGCATAAACTTTAGTGAAGAAAGATTATGATACAATTGAAACACATGAAACAGAGAACAAGATGTAAAAGATCGCTGCAGCAGCTAGCAAGAGCTGTCCATGAAATTTACCAACAACTCCTGAACCATACCTCTATCAGGCATCCTCCCTGCAGCACCATAGATTGGAGCAAGCCCCCCATTGATAGGACCTGGATGTTCTCTTACCTAAAAGATTGGACATGAAAAATATCAAATCAGCTTTTCCAGATTATGGACGCTAGAAGAGGTGCTCTACCAGTTATAGAGGTGGCCTGGCAGGTAAGCATGTGTGTAATTAGTTAACAGTTTTAATTTTCCTTTCTTTTCTCTCTCTTTTCTTTTTTTGGCTTTCCTTTTATATGTGTGGGGGTGGGAGAGCAAAATAGGTCTTCTTTGGATTTGTTACAAAAAAAGGACTTACAGTCTTCACAGATTCCATCAAATCTCTCAGGAAATCATTGACAACGGGCACATGTTGAAGGGTCACACAGATATGAATGCTGAATCAAGCACAAGATAGAAAAAAATAATTAAAGTTACTCAGAGAAAAAATTTTCAAATAAAGTCACTTCTTTTATTACTACATTGATAAACAAAATCATATTCCACAATTCAACTCAACTCAGCCTTAATCCTAACTATTTGCAGTCAGCCACATGAACCCTATCCTGCCGATATGCTCTATAATTGCACAAAATGATCCAGGATTCATATTCAATTGGATTGGCTAAAGATTTTTATGTCAGCCACCAACCTGAAACAACCCCCCTTTATCCAGAGGCTTGGAACTGTAAGCATGAGATAATCATATTTTACAATTACAGAAAGGAAATTGAGTATGTCAAGCATAACAGCAATATACGTGTATCAGCCATTTCTATCAGCAACCAAAGTGATTCCACTATCCACTTTGTGGGCAACATCCTGGATTGCCTATTGCCAAAGAATGTGCCTAAAAATTTCAGTCGCTACCATCATTCTTGTTTTAGAGGTTCAGATAAGTCCTATTCAAATGAGAAAGAAGAAGAAGGAGGCTGTCAAACTAGAGAGTCTAAAACCTCCTAGTCGACCATAATCTCTATTATATTAAAATAAGGGTGCAAAGACAAATATACCCCTACTTAAGTATGGGACAAGAGAAATAAAAAAACAAAACAGAATTGCCACATCACTACACTACTTAAACTATTATAATGAACTAAGTTACCCTTACTCGACCAACTCTAACACTCTCCCTCAAGCTAGAGAATATATATCATATAATCCCAACTTGTTATATATATATATATGTGTGTGTGTGTGTGTGTGTGTGTGTATAGTTCACTCTCCCTAAACTCAAACCTTTTGTGAACAAGTCTGCCATTGATCACCTGAACTCACGTGTTTTGTGCTTATCTCTCCAATAAGGACTTTCTCCCTCACAAAATGGCAATCAACCTCTATGTGTTCTGTCCTTTCATGGAAAACTGGATTAGATGAGATGTGGATTGCAGCTTGGTTGTCACAATACAATCTCATAGGCTTGCTCATTGAAAATCCAACTTCTTGCAGAAGATTTTTCAACCATACTAATTCACATGTGGTGTGTGCCATGGCCCTACATTCAGCTTCAGCACTATTCCTTGCCACAACAGTTTGCTTCTTACTCTTCCACGTCACCTGATTTCCTCCAAGAAGCGTGCAATATAACCTGTAGTGGATCTCCTGTCAGACACTAAGTCTGCCCAATCTGCATTTGTATACCCAACTATCTCAAGTCTTCCCCCTGGTTTGTACAACAACCTGCGACCTAGAGCTCCCTTCAAGTACCGTATAATTCTAAGAATTGCATCCCAATGAAGTATTCGGGGATTTTGCATAAATTGGCTCACCACATTGACGGCAAAGGAGATGTCTGGTCTAGTAATGGTTAGGTAGTTCAATTTCCCCACTAACCGCCTATATCTTCCAGGATCATCAAACATTTCACCTGCATCACTGCTCAACTTAGCATTTGGTTCCATGAGTGTTTTAGCTAGTTTAGCACCTAACAACCCTGTTTCTTCCAACAAATCAAGAACATATTTTATTTGGCAAAAATTTATACCTTGTTTCGACCTGGCAACTTCTATACCCAAGAAATACTTCAACTTCTCAAGATCTTTTGTTTGGAAATGGTCTTACAGGAAGGCCTTTAGCCTGTCAATCCCTAGCCTGTCACTACCAGTTATGACTATATCATCCACATAAACCACTAATAAAATCTTTTCGGCTTCAGAACCATAGGTAAACATTGAGTGATCGGCCTGATATTGTTTCATTCCGAAATCTCACCACTTCATTGAACCTCCCAAACCAAGCACGAGGAGACTGTTTCAGCCCATAAATTGCCTTTTTTTAGTCTACACACTTTACCATCCTCCCCCTGAGCAACAAACCCTGGTGGTTGCTCCATGTAGAACTCCTCCAAAAGATCACCATAGAGGAAGGCATTTTTAATGTCAAGTTGAAACAAAGGCCAATCATACATAACTGCCAAGGAAATCAAGACACGAACTGAACCAATCTTAACAACAGGAGAGAAGGTCTCCATATAATCCATCCCATACAAATGAGAGTAACCCTTAGCAACCAATCGGGCTTTCAACCGTTCCACACTACCATCTGGTAAATATTTAACAGTATACACCCATTTACAACCTACAACATGCTTACCTGGAGGAAGAGTGGTGAGCTCCCACGTGTGATTGTGTTGAAGAGCAGAGAGTTCCTCCTCCATTGCTTGATGCCACCCCGTTGAAGTAAGAGCCTCTTGGACATCCTTGGGTATAAATATTGAGGACAACAAAGAAACAAACTAGCAATGTGAAGCGAAAAGATGAGAAACTAAAACATAATTGGATATGGGATGTAAGGTACAACTACGTATACCTTTCCGCAACGCAATGAGAAGATCTAGGTCAGAAGAGGTAGGCAGCTCTAGGATAGGAGCAATTATAAGATCCATAGATGAGGTAGAAGCTGGAGGAGGTGCCGGTGTTTTTCGATGAGTATACACATGCCGGATCGGTGGTCATTCAGTAGGAATTTGCATTGGAGGAGGTGAAGGCTCAAGCATAACAAGAACAATTGGAATGGGATCACTAACGAGAAGAGGAAGAGGGATCAATGGTGAAGAAGCTGAGAAATCAGGACCTGAGAAGAATGGCATGGACTCAAAAAAGTGACATCAGGACAAACAAATGACTTACAAGTGATAGAATTGTAACACTTATACCCTTTCTGGGTCCGAGAATAGCCAAGAAAGATACACTTAATAGAACATGTGTCCAACTTGTCTAAACCAATGCCCAGGTTGTGAACAAAGCACACACACTCAAAGACCTGGGGAGTTAATGGAAATGGAGATAAAGTGGGGAATAAAATAGAAAAGGGAGACCGACCATGAAGGATGGATGAGGGCATCCGATTAATGAGGAAACAAGATGTGAGCACTACATCACTCCAAAGACACTTAAGAACATTCATATGATGAAGGATAGACTGAGAAGTCTCAAGAAGATGGCAGTTCTTTCGTTCAGCCACCCCATTTTGTTAAGGGGTGGATGCACATGAGGCTTGATGAATGATGCCATGTTGTTCCAAATATTGTTGAAAGGAAGTAAGAAAATATTCTCTGTCATTATCTGAACGAAGAATTTTTATTGGAACACCAAATTGCGTACGTATTTCAACATGGAATTTTTGAAAAATAGAAAACAATTCACTTCTTTCTTTCATTAAATAAATCCATGTCATCCTTGAACAATCATCAATGAAAATGACAAAATACGTGTAACCATTATAGGACTCAATTATGGTTGGACCCCAAACATCTGAATGGACCAAAGCAGAAAGACACAACATACAACTATCGACCCTAGGACTAAAGGAAACCCGATGGTGTTTCCCATACTAACACAACTCACACTACAAAGAAAACAAATGACTCAAAGAAGGAACTAGTATCTTGAGAGCTTTGAAAGATAAATGTCCCAGCCGACGGTGCCATTGGAGAGGAGTCAGGGAAGTCTAAAGTGCAACTGAAGATCCACCGCCGTCAAGATAATGCAATCCACTGGCTTCATGCCCTCCACCAATCTTCATCCCCGTCTTGAGATCCAGAAAAACACAAAATGAAGGGTAAAAAGTGATAGACCAATGAAGGGCATTAGTTAATTTACTAGCAGGCATAAGGTTGAATGGAAATTTGGGCACATATGGAACAAAGGATAAAGAAAGAGATGCAGTATCAACATTACCAACACCACAAATGGGAGAAGAAGAACCATTAGCTAGGGTAACAATTTGGGATGTGGAAGTTTCAGAAAGGGAAGAGAATACACCTGGAGTCCCGGTCATGTGATTGGAAGCTCTAGAATCAATGATCCAATGAGAAGGTTTGGATGCTAGACAAGCCATACCTGAATGAGCAAGGGTAGCAGTGTTCTGTTGTGAAGTAGCTTGAAGGAACCTCTCATACTGATCTCGTGGTACACTCATCATCTCCTTCCCGGAAGCAGATGTGGATGTAGAATGTGTTTGATTTGTCTATTGATTATCACTCACATCACCACTACCAACAACTACATGGTTAGCCCATGTGGAAGGTGGGCCATGTCGATCATAACAGAAATTAATTGAATGTCCTTCCCTGCCACAATGTGTACACTTCTAGTAGTGTGCCCTCTTCTTCTACCACCGCCTCCCCCTGAGTCACGACCTCCACCACTTCCACTACCACGACCAAACATGGGACTACCACGGCCTCCTCGAAATGCATGTTCTCCCCCTCTATTTCCACGTCCACCTCCTCTCGCTACAACAAACACTGATCTGTCAGAAGTTGTGTTACTCTCTATGGCTCCCAGGGAAATCCTACAAAGCCGAGCAAATACTTCCTCAAGTGTAGGAAGAGCAGAACCTCCCGATATTTGTGCTCTAACTGGTTCGTATTCTAATTTCAGCCCTACTAAAAACCTGGTTACATCAAGTTGCTCCCATTGTTGTTGCTGAATTTTGACATCTAAAGTGAGGGGGTGATAGACATTAAGTTCATTCCTGAGGTTCCTCATAATGGCATAGTACTCTTCAAGGGTTTGATTTCCTTTCCGTAAATTAAAGTACTCCTGATAGAGCTTATATACTCTCGTAGTATTGTCCTGTCCAGAATAAAGTTTCTTTGCATGTTCCCATATTTCCTTGGTTGTATCTAAGAACATACAGTTTGCACTTATCTTGGGTTCCATACTGTTCCATAACTATGTCATGATTTGGGCATCCTCTTGTTCCCAATCATCCAACCCTAGTGAGTCAACTGATGGTTTATCCTCCTTCACATGTTTCACCTTCCTCTTGGCCTTGAGAAAAACCTCCACCGACTTGGCCCATGGCCCATAATTTTCACCATTAAGTTTAATTGATATCATCTGCACACCTAAATAGTCTGAGGGGATCACCACATTAGATTTCTAATCACCACCACCATCTCCTGTTGCTACATGTTCTCGAAACACTAGATTTCTCCTAGTTCTGAATTATCAACCAACAAAAAAGATTACTGCTATTCAATCAACACTGTTGCAATCTGCACATCACCTTATGGCACTTTCTCAACCAGCCACCATAAAAAAAACACTAACATATATCACCATTCAAACACATTCGACCATCTCCTTCATAAAAAAAAACTGATTTCTCACACCATTACTGTTAACCAAACTTTCTCACCACCATTCAAACACAAACAAAGAAAAAAAAAACCTCTTGAAACTGCTTAGTAGAGGGTCTGTAACCCAACAAACACCACCACACAACCACTAGGGCTGTCACTCATGGTGACAGCAATCTGAGAACTACTCACCTAGGGCTGCCGCACCTTCCTAACACCTGCAATGGGGATTGCGGCAGTCCTGAATCACCAAAAAAGGGTTGCTGCAGCTTTCTATTGGGTGTGCCGCAGCCTTCTACCTGTGTAACTGAGATTGCACCTCATAGAAAAGGAGAAAAGAAGAGTAGAAGAGATCGCAGGTCCAGGAACTTGAGATCGCAGCCTTCCTCTCTTTTATTTAGTGCTCTGATACCATGTTTTAGTGGTTCAGATAAGTCCTATTCAAAGAGAAAGAGAAAGAAGAAGAAGAAGAAGGCTGTCGAACTAGAGAATCTAAACCCTCCTAGTCGACCATAATCTCTATTATATTAAAATAAGGGTACAAAGACAAATATACCCCTACTTAAGTATGGGGCAAGAGAAATAAAAAACAAAACAGAATTGTCACATCACTACACTACTTAAACTATAATGAAAAGATTAAGATACCCTTACTCGACCAACTCTAACAATTCTCATTCTTAAATCAGGTAGTCAAGTTAAGCAATGACTCGTTGAAGTGCTAGATAAAAGACAAACTATCCAATTTCAAATGAAATTGGCTGCTTCATTGACACCTTTGCCGCATGTGGACCTCTTGGAGTCACAGTCCTTAAATCTCATATAAAAGAGAAAAAAAGACTCACCTGTTGGGTTTCTGCAATGCATTCAAATGCCACCCTTTGGAAGACATAATATCATTCACCTCAAATATATCTACATCATTTGAGCCAAATGCCACAATTGTCATATCTGGTCTTCCAATGATAAATAATTCTGGAATCTCCTTTATTCTGCATAGATAAAAAGGTGATTCTTGCTGATAAAAAAAAAAAAGTGATTCTAGAGAACCTGAAATCTTGGAATACCACCAAAGTTGATGGAAAAATCAATTACCCTTTCTGGATTCTCTTTGATGTTTCCATGATTTCCTTGGTGCATTTCAAGTACCCTACAAGATAAATGAACCACAGCTACCCATCATATAGAACAGAACTAATGAATAAGAAAAGAGGGTTGTTAATCATATAATTCTGGTACTAAAAGCAGAACTTTAACATATCTATGATGTAAATGAGGGTAGATGAGTCTCACCTTCTTGACCTAGAGACATCATTGCTGCCCAAGCCCCAGCAATCAAACCCCCAGGCCTGCTCCCAGCTATGGTCGGAGAAACATAAAGCCCACCAGACCATTCAGTAACTGTAGCAAGGAATAGAAAAAAATGACAGTGGACAATAAGCACATATACCAGCATCAGTAAAAATGCAGAAGATAGTACTTTGCATGTATGCAAGTTACCATGTTTTCTAAGCCAAAACCTTCCTCATTGCAGTAAGTGCCAAAAGAATAGCACTGACTAACAGACTTTAATCAGGCAAAAATAAATTCCAAGACAAAAACAAAACAACACCAAGCATGATTCTAAATTCTATGGAAGGATTTGTATATACAACAGGTGCGCTTTAGTCAGGCCATTTAACCAAAAAAAAAAAAAAAAGAAAATCTAACTGGCCCAAGAATTGTTCATGTGCCACTATGGTTGTAAGCAATATTATTGGGAATCCAAAGGAAACCCGCATGCTCCTCTCATCACCTCTCTATTGATGGGGTTGTTTTCAGCTTAAAACATTTAACCATGTGGCCAAAACAAGTACTTAATTTGGGAGGGCAGTTCAAGTTCAAAAATATTAAGACCATGGATAGCTGGTATCACTTGGGGAGGACTCCAATATAAAATGTGATATAGACTATAGAGTTGATATGAACTTGGGAGTAAACAGATGCTCCATTCAGGGGATCCCCATCCAATGGATGATTTTGATTGTCCATAGGCTTCCCCGCAGCAGAGTATGTTAGATCATTTATGGAGCTTGCCTACTTCACCTGATTGTGAAACCTTTTCCTCCATGTGTTTTCATGTGTGTGTGTGTTCACATGTATATAGAGAAAGAAATCTTACCAGCAACAAACTGGTGCTGTTAAAGAGGCAACAGAGATCCATCAAATAAGTTTAGTTGAAGACATGTAAACAGGAAAAACTAATATTAGCATTGTAAAATATTGCATTATAAGAAAAGCATGTAAATCAGAAATATAGACCGGGAATGCACAATTTATCCATAAAGATGGGGACTAATTAACTTAAAATAATGATATTGTTTTGTGGTTGACATTGATTTTCATTTCAATAGTGGATTGAAGTTATGAGACAAGATAATTGACTATGAGACTTGGCACTGAGTCAAAAATAATTAAACGTGAATGATAATAAACAATCTTACAACAGTGAATTCCAGAAAACAACAGAGAATCAATATCCAACAAACTGCTATAGAAAATTGAAAATTCAAATATTGAGCACTATGCAAATCTTCCAAGGCTGGTGGTTGGGAATTAGAATGCTCAAGGCTTTGAATCTAGCCCTAATAGGGAAGTGGTATTCAAAATACAGTTAGGAACTGGACGGCCTTTGCAGGAGAGTGACTACAGCCAAGTGAAAAGGCATTGGAAAAAAAAAAAATCTACCCTTAATTTTCTTAAGGAATCAGCTATAAGGTGGGGGAGGGCACAGGGTTAAATTCTGGATGGACAGGTGGTGTGGAGAGCAAGCGTTAATGGAGGTGTATCCCTCTTCATTTATGGCAACTCAGAATAAGGAAGTTGTGGTCAAGGAATACTACCAAATTCTTCATGGTGTTGTTACTTGGAATTCAATTCCAAGAAGATATCTGAATGATAGGGAGGTGGATCAGGTAGTAGAGATGCTTCAATCTCTCCAGCAAATCTGTCCACGGGTGGGGCAATCTGATTGCAGACAATGGAAGTGGGAAAACAGAGGCTATTTCTTACTCCGCAGTCAAAACTTTGTATGAGGCAAAATCCTTGTGCAAATTGTAATTTACCTGCCAACAGGATATGGCTGTCTGCTGCTCCATCCAAGAGTTTTTGGTGTGAACTACAGCTCTTGAAAAGTGCCTAACTAAAGATAAGATGATCAGTCAAGGCATGGCTTTGGATAATGTGGGCTGTGCTCTGTGTCCTGGTGATTTGGAAACTGCAAGTCATTTGCTGCTGCACTGTACTTTTCCTTTTAAAATCTGGGGCACAGTACTTGATACATTTGGATGGTGGTTTGATGTTATCGCAGCCTATCTTGTAATGTAATTTTTGGCAAGTTGGCAGATGCAAGATTTGAGCAGGTAGTGCTTGGAAAAACCAAAGGAAAATTATGTTGTTGGTTGGGAGTGAAGATGGAATTTATATTTGGCAGGGATTTTTTTTTTTTTGAGTTTGTACAGTCCCTTTGGGGTGTATATGATCTATAATTTTATCTATTATAGAATACAATACTTCACCTTTTTCAAAAAAACAAAAAAAAACAGAGTTTCAAGTTTCTCTTAACCTAATCTTCCAGGATTTTGCCCTGAAAGTACAGAGAATAAGAACAGATTATATTATGTTATTTAACTTTCTTGTAAGTTCAACCGAAACCTTTATTATTCCTTATCATAACCCATCTTCCGAATTGTGTGAAATCTCCCACCAACTAAACTTTAAATCTATGGTCCAAATCATTCAGGTAGAAAAAGAAGCATTAAATTCATCTTTGCTTTTTTTGGCAAGTCACAAATGTTGCTTTGCAGAATAGCTCACCTAGAAATCTGTTCAACATCAAGAGCATGTAATTACATTTTCCTAATTGCATAAACACAACTAGTATATGATATACAAACTCATGACCTCTTGCCTCCTATTATATGCCAATAGTACTCTATCAAAGGACCTCTTGCCTCCTATTATTTTCTTATTTGTTAGGATTTAATCAACACAAGCATTGTTCAATGCTGTCTTTCCTATATGCCACCTTTTCTTTTCTTCTTTTCCTATAACAGAAATAGGGGTTCAGCCCCTATATTTTTCGAATTTTCTTTTCTTTCTTCTTTTTCTTCTCATGAATATGTTGGAATATGTTGATTTTCTATACTTCAACATGAAGTTTATACTTTTCTTATGAAAATTATGGATATTTATTGTTGAGTGGGCTGATTTATGTTGGGTCGATTTATGTTTAGTT